AATACTGGCTGGATTGCCTAGCCATATCGGTAAATTTCACAGCTGCTTATAAGAGATATCGGTGAACCAGGAACCTCCTCCTAGTGAAGCAGATTACAGAAGAAGTTTGGCTATACTGCCAGTTTGTGCTTTGACTTCCACTGAGGTGACAAACGTTTGATTTCAGATCCCTAGGGGCCTGGATAATTGAACCATGGACAGAGCTGTGATCTGAACCTTATGGATTCTGGCAGACTGGAGCCAATGTTTGTCCGTGGCTGGTGCTTGGAGAGAGACATGTGCTCGGATTTAAGTGCAGAACAGAAATGGGTGGAATTGCTGTGCTTAAGGATGTTCTGTCACCACATTGCTATGCTATCATTCAACTGCCTGCTTTGTCTCAACAGAGCCTGTGGAGAGCAAGCTGCACAGGAAGCACACTCAGGCACTTTCCAAAGCAGCCTGTAAAACAGCAGACTTGAGCCGAGCTCACCAACCTACATTCGTGTCCTGAGACACAAAGTTTGAATCAGTGCAGTGACAGATTCTGGCAGCAGCCAAAAATTCTGGCAAGCACTTGCTGCTTTAGGGGAAAGCAAAACACTCGAGCCTCCTTTTCTGTTCAGTTGGCGACCCTACATCCCACACTTCATCTGCAATGTATCCTCAGCATGGCTCAGATCACATTTATGTTTAGTAGATTCAGATGGGCAGCCGTGTTGGTCTGAAGGTACAGAACAAAGTTTGAGTTCAGTGACACCTTTATGTTCAGTGTTCATGTCAACATGTGTACTATTTATACACCATTTTCCTGTAATTGCTTTTATGCACAAGAGATCATTTGTGGTCCACTCAGAGTCACAGGAGGGGATGAAGGCTCCAGCTCAGGTGGCTTTGAAAGGGGAATTGGAAAGTTGGTGATCCGACTGTCCTCAACCAGGGACAGAGACAGCTGCAGTTTGCTGAAACAGTTTTCTTCTCCAACCACGAGAAAAGCAGCATGAATAATCTCTTCTGGGGAATGTCCAGAGCCTCTCTGAAAGAGTCATGATTTCCCCATTTACTGAGCTGGGGCTGTTTTTTTTTTAACACTGAGACTTTTCACTGAGCAAAACCGAGATCTTTGTCTTTGGTCTCTGTGGGCAGACTTTCAGGCACCTCCCTTTTGCACTCCATCATCCTACAGCTTGAGGGAAGGACCAGAGAGAGCTCAGTTGGTAACACTACCGTGGAGCAAGAAAAGGCAAGAAACTGATCAGTGCAGTGGGGAAAAATTATTTTGATTAAACTTAATGACCCTTATGTGTTTCACCTATGTTTCGTTGGGGGGAATCTGTAAAGACAGCCAGTGTGGTATAGTTCTTGAGAGCTGTGGTTTGATGCCCCACACGAAGCCTGCTGGGTGATCTTGGGCCAGTCATGGTTCTCTCAGAACTCTCTCAACCTCACTTATCTCACAAGGTACCTGTTATGGGCAGAGGAAGGGAAGAGTACAGAAAAGTCAGGTATAAAAACCAGCTCTTCTTCTTCTTAAAGAAAAAAAGATACACATATCATTAAGAAAAACCTCCACAGATTTAAAAAACAACTTCTGGAAAGACAGTCATAAGTGAGCATATGAGGAAAAATAGCTAATATGTTGATGTCCTAGGAATCAGTACACATTGCATGAAGCACTATCTGTTTTCTCACAGGTGACCCAGGGGTCATTTCGTAGAAAAAGAGGTGCAGGAGCTCATTAGCATAACTTATTTGCATATGCCACACCCCCTGACATCACCAGAAGTGTGTCAGAAGGCAACACCCACTGCTCAGGCTCCACTGGACTGTTTTGAATTGCTAGCTATGGGGGGAAGGGTTCCACACAGATCTGCCCTCACAGAGGAGGGAGAGCTTGTACCTGAATAAAACTTGGTCTTAAAGCTGCCACTGGACTGTTTTGGATTGCTATCTATGGGGGGGCTCTGAAACTTACCTGGCTGCTTCTTGCTCCTCGTGGCCCGGGGCTGCTGGGAGCAGGGGGCGGGGCTTGTTGCATGTGCCCACCCCCTGGACTCTTAACTGCCGGAGCTCCGCTCCTGTGCGCTCCTGCAGGACATGACCCCTGCACAGGTCCAATAGGTGCATATGTGTAGCCTGGCAACTGTGGGAGCTTCAAGGGCAGAGACATGGGGGGGGGGGCGTGGTGTCCTGTGCTCACGGTAGTGGTCAAAGAGGCTGGTTTCTGGCACCCAGGACGACAATGTACTACCTATTTTTCTCACATGGTCAAGGATTACTGTCTCTTCTGAATTTGTTTTAAAGAGGTGAGCTTTTAGTGATACATGTGTCTGGGGTTTTTTTACAGATGAGGCACAGTGAAACCTGTGTGTATATAAAAGTGCCCTCAAGTCGCAGCTGACTTATGGCAACCCCAGAAAGGGGCTTTCAAGGCAAGCGAGAAGCAGAGGCGGTTTGCTGCCTGCCTCTGCAGAGCATTCCTTGGTGGTCTCCCATCCAAGTACTGACCCTGCTCAGGTACTGAGATCTGATGAGTTCGGGCTATACCATGACACCATCCCTTCAGAGGCGAACACATAGGGGTTGTTAAGTGAAATAAAAATGTTTTTCCCACTTGCGCCAATTGCTTTTTTCTTCTTTTATTTGCGTTTTCTACTCTGTGGCCTTCTGTTCTGGACTGTAACTGTACTGCGCCAGGTGTCTCGACTCAGATTCCACCGAGGATCATTTTACAGCTTGGCAACAGGAGAAGGAAGAGAGAGAGGCCCCTTTCCCCCCTTGACTTCCCTGGATCCCAGCCCTGATCCTTTTTCGACTCAGAACCATATGAGCAGGCTGAAGACAGAACCAAAGTTCGTTCTTATCCCAATTTTACACTACCCCAAAGAAAGGTAAGACTATCCAGCAAAGTTTTATTCTGGGTATAAGCTTTTGTGTGTATCTAAAGAAGTGTGCATGCACACGAAAGCGTATACCTTGAATAAAAGTTTGTTGGTATGAAAGATACCACTGGACTCAAACTTTGTTCTGGACTCAAACTTTGTTGCTTCAGACCAACACGGCTGCCCCACCTCAATCAAACTTTTACATTTGTGATATATAAGGCAGAGTACGTTATCCCCACCCTACCTAGGCCAGCATTTAGGAATAAGGAACTGGCCATTTTGCCTGCCAAAATTAGCCAGCCCAAATTATATACCACCAGGCTGAGGGGAAAGTTTCCACTCTGAAATACCTCATGATGATGTCTGCTCCCAAACTTCATTTTTGCACAAGAGTCTCACAAGCACACTCTTCTCACAATAATATTGACAAGATAAATAAAGAAGGGCTGATTTTGCATTCTGAAATCAGCTTTGGGCCAAGTTCCCATGAAAGGATTACAGCTCTACTTATTTATGTCCTTTATACCCTATTTTTCTCCTTGGAGTGGCTTACAACATTCTCCCCTTCATTTTATCCTTGCAATAATCCTGTGAAGCAGGTTAGGCTGAGAGTGTATGATTGGCCCAAGGTCACACAGCAAGTTTCCATGACAGAGGTGAGAATCTGAGCTGGGTCCCTTTCCATAGAAGAGTAGGAATATGAACCTGAGTCTCTCAGAGCCTAGGCTGACACTCTAACCCAGGGGTGTCGAACTCACTTGTTATGAGGGCCAGATTTGACATAAATGAGACCTTGTTGGGCCGGACCATGTGTGTCATAAAATGTAATGCCAGGTAGCGGAGATATAAACTTTATAAAGGACACAAACACAAAGGGTTTTTTTAAACTTAAAATAAAAAAATATGCTTAAAACATTAGCATTCTTGCAATATTTTGTTTATTTAACAGTGTCTGATAACTGACACCTCTTGCTCTGAATGATTGCATCAAAATGTCTGTGCTGTTGCAATCTTGAGTATGCTGTTCAGGTGTGTATCTGTAAGGTACAAACCTAGGATGATGCAGCAGCAGCAGAACAGGAAGAAGAAGAAGACATCCAGTTCCACTGTGGGCCTGACAGAAGCCCTCTGGGGGCCTAATCCGGCCCCCAGGCCACATGTTTGACACCCCTGCTCTAACCACTATACAACATTGAGTCTCAATTTTAACAACAAAAGTGTACTAGACATGATATATTGTGAATAGTGCAAAAAATAAAAAAGAATGGCATTATAAGATTAGAAAATAATGCAATAAGTATAATAAACGTATAAACAATACGTATAATAAACAGTGGAATAGACTACAATCCTGTTACCTTTGTAAAAACGCCCTCTTGTTCTATTGTACTACAGCTTTCTACCTTTTATGAAATGCCCTCCTGAACTTCTGTTTTATGTAGTTCTTGGAATGGCAGTAGCATATGAGCTTTCCTAACTTCCTCAGGCAGGCCATTCCACAAGGTGGGGGTGACTACAGAGAAAGACTTGGGTACGGCAATTGTTGATCTTGCCCCTGTCCAGAGTGGCACACTCCAAAGGCTTTGCTCAGATGAAGGCAGAGCATAAAAGGAGAGTCAATCTTTCAAATATGAGGGTCTAAGGCCACATAGGGTGTTGTAGGTGATATGGCACCTAAATCCTGTAGAGCAGACTGACCCAACAACAGTTTGTGAGCTTTTGAGGTCACCAGAACTCTTCTTCAGGCTGGATATTACAAAAAAAACACCAAAAACAAAACACCTTTAAAAGAGCTTTGGGAAGAGAGAAGGCCTCAGGAGGAGGAGACCATCCGGTTAAATCCAATGCCAAGAACAAAATTGGTGTGATACCCTTTTTTTAGCATTGACCAAACTGTCACAAAACATTATGCTGAGTTCACCAGAATGCCTATCAGTCATGTTACAAAATGTAAAAAAGCAGAAGGGCAAAATTACAACACCGGCCTTTGGAAAGCTGCCTTCAGCCCACGACCTTTCTTTGTTTTCTCACTTGAAATAGCCAGCCCACCAAGTGTCAATGTAATGCAGACTCAAAATGGAGCTGGCTTCAAGTTACTCCAGGCAATAGGCAAAGCTGAAAGAATTGAGCGGATTCGGGGGCGGATCCTCTGCAGTGAAGCTTCCTGGGTGCCACAGACTGATCTACGGCCTAGGAGGATTATTGATTGTGAGGCTGTGCCATGTCTCTGACGTCTTTATTTTGGAAACATAGTCCTCGAGAACAGCAAACGGATAAACTGACGAGGAGGGAGAGAGTGAGTCAACTCGACGTACTGGGAACGCGATTCCGACGGGTTTGGATCCGTACCCTTTGCGCATCCACCTAATGGAGCGGTGATGATGATGTTTTCCAGAATGGGCTGCTGGTTTTGCTTCATTTGCCTTCAACGCCTCTGTAACGATTGAAGAGCTGCTTTCGGAGCAAGGAATAAAAAGGAAACGAGACGGGGGGCGGTGAGAGGTTGAAATGACTGGGCTCCGGGGCTTATGCAGCAGCTTTCGAGTTTGAGTCAACACAGTCTTTGGGTCGAAGGCAGGAAGAGGGAGGTTGCGACACCATTTTCTCTCGAGCCGAGCACTGTGTGCTTTATGTGGCTGGGCAGAACCATTTCCCAATGGAGGCGCACCCGACGAACTTGTGAGTGTGATCACATTTCTTATATCGAATTTATTTACAGAAACGTATATAGAAATTATCTCTAGAATTTAGCCTTCGGACAAAGGGAGGGAGGGAAGACTGGGAAGAAGAAATAAACCACGGTAAGGGGGGAGGTAGATATGGGGGGTGGTTTCGGCGTGAGGGGAGGGGGTAGAAGCCCACTCCTCCCCTGACTCGGCCCGTGAGAGACTTTATAAAATGCAAAATTTCCCCGCAGCTGTTTTGCTTATCTAGTCTGGAAGAGGCAATTCAGACGATTTAATTTTAAAAAAAGTAGGGGGGGGGGGGGGTGTTTCTCCCGTCTAACTGAAGCTGGTCAGGGGGTGTGTGTGAGGGCATGTTTGAATTATTAGGGCTGGATATTCCAGATAGATCAAGATGGGTAGCCGTGGTAGTCTAGCAGTAGGAAAGAGCAAGCGTTCTGGCAAGCTAAGAGCTGTAGGGTTGCCAGCCTCCAGGTGGGGCCTGGGGATCCCCCGCTTTTATAACTGATCTCCAGCTGGCAGAGATCAGCTCTCCTGGAGAAAAGGGCTGCTTTGGAGGGGGGACTCTATGACATTGTACTCTGCTGAGGTCCCTCTCCTCCCCACACTCCACCCTCTCCTGGAGCCACCCCCAAAGTCTCCAGGTATTTTCCAGCCCAGACATGGCAACCCTAGTCCTGAGTCACTGCTTGTTTCTTCTTTGGGCAGTGACTCAGGAAAGCTCATACTGTGCTACATTTTTTTTAAGTCTTTACGGGATTCTTTCTCTTTTCTCCTGTACATATAGGCAGCAATGCTCTTTAGCATTTGTATTTTATTTGGACTGGATACTATGGACAAAGCTATGCAGTGTTATGTACTACACATATATAATATCTACTCCAAATATTTAAAGAAATGGTGTCGCATTCAGACGCCCGTGATAAATATTATTTCATATGTATGTGCGTTTGGAACAAGTCGCCTATTTTAAGGCCTCTCTCACTGGGCGTTTACTGGGGAGAGAGACAAAGGTAGGGAAGGGTTGCAGGGTCCCTTCTTCCTGCCGGCTGGGGACTGGACAAAGGAGAGTTGCCACTGCCATCGTTAGGGGGCTGACCCTTGTTAACTGACATCTGCTTTATAAGGAAGGTTTTATGTTCTGGCTCCTCTGCTGTCCCTTTTATCCGCATTTTGAATTTCTCCATTTTGACGGTTAGTCCGTAGGAAAGTGAGCCAAGAAAAGATCGGTAAACAAGCTGCGTGGAGGTTCTAGAGATCTACCACCCTCTAGTGGCGAAAGTGCGTGGCGGCGGCCATGCTAGTTTGTTGCAGTTTTAAAAGGGATAGGGTAAAAGTCGGAACGGCCCGGAAGGGGCACTAAACACACAGTAGTACCGCAAAAAACAGTGGCATGCATTACAGGCCCTCCAGAACAATATTCTAGAGGTGGGAAACCAGAACTCTCACTCTTTTATTAACCCTTTCTGGGCCAAAATGCCTCTGGAACGGCCCGGAACGGGCACTAAACACACAATAGTACCGCAAAAAACAGTGGCATGCATTACAGGCCCTCCAGAACAGTATTCTAGAAGTGGAAAACCAGAACTCTCACTCTTTTATTGGGCTTTGGACAGCGCTGGCTGTTTGGCTTTGAAACGGAGATGAGCACCGCAACCCTAGAGTTGGATTCGACTGGCTTTCGAGCAAGGGAACCTTTACCTTTACCTTTAAGCCTTAGTTTGCTAGTTTCCCCCTTCTTCAGCCCATTTGTTCCAAGGGCCCAATTTGACAGAAATGTCACTTGGACTGGACCAAGTATGCCACAAAATGTAATGCCAGGTACCAGAGATACAAACACAATTAACAATATTTTTTTAAACTTAAAATACAAACAAAATCAGTTGATCCCTAGCAGTAAAAACAATTAAATTACTGGGGAACCCACAAATGCCCCAATAAATGTATTTAATAATGTGCAAGACTAGGTTTTTTTCCAAGGGACACCTTAAAGAGGGAGATATCTCTCCCTTATATATAATTGAATAAGACGCAGAGTCACGCAGAGGAGAGAAAATGCACACCAACAGTGTTTTGACGGCTGAACTGTCTGTCAAAAGCTTTCCGGCTTCCATTGGACATGTCGCCGACGTCCCACCTCAGACGCAGCTTCACGCAGCGGAGAGAAAATGCACACCAGCAGTGTTTGGAATCTTGCCCTGCTATGGGCTGGGAGGCGGGAGCCGAGCGCTGTGTCTGAGCGTGCGGTGGCAATGTGGCCCACGCCGCGGCCTGATTTCCCTCCCCCACCCGGAGGAGGCTTTCTTATGCCCTCCCCCGCGCTGCTTTCTTAGCCCCCCTCACTTCTCTGGCCCACTTGGGAAGCCGGATGGACTGGAGGATCTTTTGCAGCCCCCCCGCCTCCCCCCCTTCTTGCTTCCTTCCCTCCTTTCTCTCCCCCCCACTTTCTCTCTCTCTCTTTCTCTCTCTGTTTCTTTCTCCCTTCCTTCCTCTCTCTCTCCCTTTCTTTCCCCAGCTTTCTTCCCCACTCACCCACTCACTCACCCACCCACCCACTCACCCACCCACCCTACCTGTCTAGGGGCCCGTTGTCTCCGTCCACAACGGGCTTTGCTCCCTAGTCTTACATAATTGTACACATTAGTTACTTTTTGTATACATAGTACTGTTAGGAGACGAGTCATCTTCTTTGCAAGTGAATAAGGTAGTTTTTCAGCACACACCCACCCATATGCCCAGTCTCAGCAGCCGAGAATTAATATGGATCGCTCAATTGCTCTTTGTTTCCTCTCTACCCCTGTCCTAACTCTGAGGATCTCAAGGAGGCACACCAGACTCCCCTCCTCCACTGCCCCATCCCCACCACTAACCCCCTGAGGTGGGCCAGACTGAGCAGCCAGCCCCGGGTGACCCAGATGACAATCCTGGCTCAGGAAAAGGGAGGGGGTCTGAGCCTGTCTCTCCCGGATCCCCCACCCCCAGTTCTCATCCCGCCAGCACTTTCCACAGAAGCAGCAGGGCTGAGGGGAAGACCTGACGGAAAGGCTGTTGGGGGCACTTTTTGTCTTCCTGCAACCCCTTTTTCCTTATGGGCTATGAACAGTTGGGGGGGGAGAAGGGAGGTCACCATCCCCCCCCCCATCCGACACTCACTCTGCCTCCCAGCTCGGTGGCTGTTCAGATGTGTGGTGGCAACAGCAGCGCCCCTTTTCCCCCTTCACTCCTCCACTGGCTTCTGAGGCTGGGAAGTCTTTCACCGTCCAGTTGCCTTTCAATCCATGGACTCCTCCTTCTCTCTCCTGCCGGCCCCTGTTCCTTCGTCAGCAAACTGCCACTCCTCATGCACAGCCCCTTGGCTATGCCTCTCTTACGTAGTAGCTTCGCTTATCCTTGCTGAGCTTTGATTGGAGGAGGCAGGAGGGGAAAACACCATGCCTTCTCTTTCTCCGCCTTCACTGCCATTCATGCCCTGTCACACGGTTTTACCTCAGCCTCTTAGCCCCACCCCCAAGTCCTGCGAAACAAGCTCTGACTCGCAGGAGTTTATGCTGGCAAATGCCTGTCTTTTAAGGTGCCCTGGACTCTGGGGCTTAATTTCGTGGTGATATGATTAGTGTTTCAGATTGGGGTGGAGAAAATGAATTTCTCCATTTTGACGGTTAGTAGGAAAGTGAGCCAAGAAAAGATCGGTAAACAAGCTCCCTGGTGGTTCTACGGTAGTTATCTACCACCCTCTAGTGGCGAAAGTGTGTGGCAGCAGCCCTTTGCTAGTTTGTTGCAGTTTTAAAAAGTAGAGAGGCTTGTGCCGCTTAAAGGCAGACAGATTTATTGTAGGGTAAGCCTTACTGTGCTAGTTTCCCCCTTCTTCAGCCCATTTGTTCCAAGGGCCCGATTTGACAGAAATGTCACTTCGTTGGACCTGACCAAGTGTGCCACAAAATGTAATGCCAGGTACCAGAGATACAAACGCAATTAACAATATTTTTTAAAACTTATAATACAAACAAAATCAATTGATCCCTAGCAGTAAAAGCAATTAAATTACTGGGGAACCTACAAATGCCCCAATAAATGTATTTGATAATGTGCAAGACTAGGCTTTTTCCAAGGGACACCTTAAAAAGGGAGATATCTTACATAACTGTACAAATTAGTTACTTTTTGTATACATGGCACAAGTCATCTTCCTTGCAAGTGAATAAGGTAGTTTTTCAGCATACACCCACCCATATGCCCAGCCCCAGCAGCCGAGAATAGTTATGGATCGCTCAATTGCTCTTTGTTTCCTCTCTTCCCCTGTCCTAACTCTGAGGATCTCAAGGAGGCACACCAGACCTCCCTCCTCCACTGCCCCATCCCCACCATTCTGACTCGCAGGAGTTTATGCTGGCAAATGCTTGTTTTTTAAGGTGCCCTGGACTCTTGGGCTTAATTTTGTGGTGATGTGATTAGTGTTTCAGATTGGGGTGGGGGATTCTCCTTCAAATCTTCACTCTGTCACGAAGCTGATGTATGAAGGTAATGTTGGGCCAGTTGCTCTTTTTCTCGACATAGCAAAAGGCACAGTGTGGTTGTTGTGAGAAACAGAGAGGGAGTAGTTTTGTCCACTTTCCCATGCAGCCTCCCAACCTGGGTGGCTGTTTACTACCCACGGGTCCCGTGAGCCTGGGCATCAACTTCCTTGTGGTCAGAAATAGCTGCTGTGAGGAGGGAAAAGCCAGGAAGATCCAACTGCAGTCCAGTCGACTGTCTCCAATAATCAATATCTTGTGGGGTATCATTGAAGGGTAAATAGAATTTGTATGTGCTGAATTAGAGATGGCATACTCTCTAGTTGCCTTTATAGTTTTGTAGTGTTAATATTTGATTCTTGCATACAGGTATGGATGCTTATTTCAATAGGGTGGGCCTCTTGTATGCATTCACCCTTACTAGGAATGCCTTGGCAGTATTCTACTTTGGAAGAGTCCAGGTTACTTGGCTGTAGGCCATTTA